CTTTGAGTTCATGGTGGTAAAGGCTCCTCTCAGCCCAGGGCTATGACAAGGATCCAAAGAAGGGTTTTTTATATCAAATCAACCATCATAAGACATGGCTAGAGTTCCTTTTGTCATTTTTCATACCTTTACAACTGAATCAGACCAAAATATATATAACTGGAAGTTGAGTGTTGTTTTGTTGTAGGCTGGCCAGTGGAAAAGAAGAGGCAGAGAGTAAAAATATCACAGTACTGAAGAAAGCTTTTAGTGACTTATGTTGATGTACGTAGGGTCTATGCCAGCATAACAACTTTTTCAAATGTGGTCCAAGATAGTATCTCATATTGTGCTGTGCAATGGTTCTGTCCAGGTTGTACAATGGCAGCTGGACAGGAATGTGCACAACTCTGCCCTTGACCCAAAATAGCTATTGATTGTCTAGGCAGGTGCATTGAGATGCTCTTGCCCTCCCTTGAGGACTTCCTCTCTCTCTCTCTCTTAGACTTCTTGTGTAACTATGGAGCATTATACTTCATTGGCAATAAATAAAATTTTGGCCATTGTCTGCATTACAGTACTATGGAGGTATCTGAGAAGGAATCAAGGTGATTATTTCATATCCTGCTGTAGTGGTTTGAGCTTTGGCCTCATGCAAAGTTCTGCGTTGGCTGTGCTATACAATCCTTGTGTTAAAGGCAGTGTTAAACAATTGAATATACACCTGAAAGTGCAGCCAAATGTGGAACAAAAATGTGCATGGAATGATCATCCACATGCACACTAACACTGCATGTACAAGTTTATTTCTGCAACTTTAAATTGAATGCAGATGTTCTGCATTGGGCAGAAATATCAAACTACTTTTACAGGGGAGCACACATTTAAGAGGTAAGCAGGATTCTGGCCTGTGTCTTGTTTTTTGTTTTGGTTTGGTTTTGACATTGATCATGTCAAAGTCTCCATGTGCCCTTTTTGTTTTTCAGGCATTATGATTGCAATAATGCTGGTTAGTACCAACAAATGCTATGAGCTATCTCACACTACACATTTATAGCACCATGATTCCACTTTAACTGCCTAGGAAATACCAGGATTTCTAGGTTTAGGAAGGAGTATTTAGAATTCTCGGCCAGAGAATTCTAGTGCCTTATGAAACTACAGATCTCAGAATTCCATACAATGCAACTGTTGCAGTTGAAGTAGAATCAGAGTGCTGTAATTTTGTAAATCCATTTTTGAATGATTAATCCAGACTGGTTTGGCCTAAAGACTGAGGTTGCAATCCTTCACCTAGGACGTTATCACACGGGGAGCTCCGAACAAAAGCTGGCTTTAAAGTGAAAGTGCTACCGCAAAAATGGAAGCAATTAATTAGTCGGCTTTCCCCGTGTGAAAACCTCCTGCGCATTTAAAAGGAGGTTACTCCGAACGGACAGTAGGCAGAAACTGCTTCTTTTTATTTTCAGAAGATCCCCGAAAATAAAAAGAAGCAGTTTCTGACTACTTTCTGTTTGGATTAACCTGCTTTTAAATGCGACGTCGTCTGAAAATATACCCGCTTTTGCGGGTATATTTTCAGTTTAAAACCCCGTTTCCTCACAGGATTTCCCCCGTGTGATAATGTCCCTACTTATCTAGGTGTCGGCTATGCGGGTCTCATTTAAATTTAATTCTGACTGTGCTCATGGTTGCTTGCAGGGCCACTTTGCTTGTGGGATTCCAGTTGGAGCATCTGGTTGCACACTCTGGGAACTGAATGTTGGATTACATGTGCCTCTGGTCTGATCCAGCAAGGGTCTTTTATTTTTACTGTATAGAAGATCCATATCTGTTCCAGAAACAGGACAGCTTATGAGTTATGTTCAGATAATGCTAATGTTGCCTACTGGGAAGTCTGCTTCAACACTTTCAATACATGTAGGTATGAGATGACGCTACGCTGATCTTTCTACCTCTGGTCAATGTGGCTGACACATGAAACCAGTGTGGGCTATTGTGGCTCGTGTTCTCCCACAACGAATGCTGGAGAGTCAAAGTGAAAAATGCATTCATTTTTTGCTAGGTTGCTGTTTAAGCTCCCACTGATACACTACAATATCCAAACAGGAGGGTGAGAATCTGTGGCCTCAAATGTACATCAGTGGTATGGTGCCTCTCCTTATATATGGCTGCCTAAGCTTTTAGGTCTGCTGTAGGGGCCCTCCTCTATATCCCATCACAGGGCAGTATGATATGGGAGGACATGGGAGAGGGCCTTCTCTGCTGTGGCAGCCCAGATATGGAATACCATCTCATTATTGGCTCCATTGACACCAATGCTGTTGTCATTCTAGCACTAAGTAAAAACATAATGGTTTATGGAAGCATTTGGAGCATGTGATTTTAAATTGTTTTAAACTTTATCAACTACTTTAATTTTTAAAATGGTCTAATACGATTATAGTCTTTAAATTATTCTCTTATTTTTTTTAAACAATTCAAATTGATTTTGTCCTTGGATATTGGATAGAATTATTTTAACAATAGGGCCAGAACCTTGTACTTCACTTTTATAGCCTTGGGTGCTTTGTTGGAAAACAACCACCAAAAATTAGTGAAGAAAAAACAGAATGTGTGAAAATGACAAAAAATACACCAGAGTTATTAATCATTCTGACTTGAGGGTAACTTTCACTGTCACCTTATACAGTAAGACTCTGAGTATCAAAGGAAGATCAAGCTGCGAGATGCAATCTCTTTTAGCATCACAACACTAACTGCATCTGCACATCTTCAGTTATGATCATCTTTCATGTCTATTTCCCCTTTATCCCAAGACACATAACTGTAAGGGCAAACATAAACCGCTTAATGAATTGAATTACTTGAGGGACTTCATATGTACACCTTAGTTCACCCAGACTGCAATTTTGTGCTTGACCAAAGTATTCCTTTTTCTGTGGCCTAAACCTAAGTGGGATTGGGATGGTCATTTGTTGACTCAGTACCATGGATTTTGTTTTGGTGCCCTACCCAAATCAACTATACATGTCTCTGAATTCAAAGAGGTGATGCAGTTGTGTGTATCTACAATTAGGTGAGAATATTGAAAAAAGAAAAAGAAAAAAGTGTGTACAGCTCTATTCTTAGTTCTTGGCATTCAGTTTTATTTATTTATTATTTTTTGGCTGAAAGAACTAAGGGCCTCGGCAGACGGCTTAAAAAGCCATCCTCAGCGCAGGGAAGGGGAGGGGCAGCCGCACGCTCGGCGCCCCATCCCTCTCCCAAGGTCGTCCTCGGAGCCGCTGGCCCTCTGCACGGCCGGCGTTCCGAGGAGGACCTCCTGCCGCAACATCTGGACACGCTGCGGCAGAAGGGTCGCTGAAAGTGCGCCTCAATGTTTTGGGGCGCACTTTCGGTGACATATGAAAGGAGCGCTATTTTAGCACTCCTTTCCAGGGGCGCCGACGGTGTGCCGCTGGATTGAGGC